TAGGGAACTTAGAAGCAGGTCCTAGGTTTTCTAATTTTGGACCGATGACTCCTACAGTATACCACAGTGAGATTCAATTTTTTGTTTGCTCTTATTTCAATATGTCATCAGATTTTAATCAATAAAAGTTCAATTTAATGACTAGCCTCTATTTTTAGTTCTTGATTAATTTAATTTTCAAATAGATGACATATTTATATTGGTCAAAAATCTAAACGCATGAAAGTGTTCATAAAATATATGTGGTCAAAATGAGATTAGGTATTATCCTCAGATCATCTTTTATGATATTTTTTTTCCAGGAAATTTCCCTGTAGAGATAACCAGTTTGAAGCAAATGCTCCTCTCACTCATTTCCTTTATGCTCTTCCTATTTAAAAAATTTTTAAAACATAGACACAGTATAATGATTGCCAGAGGTAAAGGGAGGGGCAGAGGAGGTAGAAGAGGTAAAGAGTAGATAAATGGTGATGGAAGGAGACTTGATTTGAGGTGGTGAACACACAATACAATATACAGATGATGTGGTACAGAATTGTACACCTGAAGCCTATATAATTTTGTTAACCAGTGTCACCCCAATAAACTCAACTAAACATTTTAAATTAAAGATAATAGCCTGGCTAGCGTGGCTCAGTGTTTGAGCATCGACCTATGAATCAGGAGGTCATGGTTCAATTCCTGGTCAGGTCACATACCCAGGTTTCAGGCTGGTGGGGGCCTGCAGAGGCAACAGGAGCTGATCAGTAATTCTCTTTCATCATTGATGTTTCTATCTCTCTCTCCCTCTCCCTTCCTCTCTGAAATCAATAAAAATATATCATAAAAATAAAATAGTTACCTATAATCTCATCTTCCAGGATTGCTGTTTTTATTTTTTGTATATTAACATCTGCATGTATATTCATTTATATGATGCATATTATTCTGCGGTCTTTGCTCAATATTACATCATAAAGTACATATTTCAATAAAGTGTTTCAAAAGCACTTGTTTTATAATAAAGCCAGCACAACCCTGATACTAAAGCCTAATAGTGACATTATATAAAAAGAAAACAGAAAGATATATTTTTTAAAAGTAGCAAATTGTCCTGGCTGGATAGCTCAGTTGATTAGAACATTGTTCTGATACGCCAAGGTTGGGGGTTTGATCCTTGGTCAGGGCACATACAAGAATCAACCAATGAATGCATAAGTAAGTGCAACAACAAATCGATGTTTCTCTCTCCCTCTCTCTTGTCCTCTCCCTCCCTCCTTCTCTCCTTCTCTCTGTCTAAATCAATTAAAAATTTTTTAAAAATTAGCAAATTGCATCTAGTAATATATGAAAGGGATAATACATTATGACCAAGTGGGGCTTATCTCAGGAATGCAGTGTTGTTAAACATTTGAACATCAATCAATATAATATGCCACATTGACAAAACAAATGAGAAAAGCCATATGATATTTCAATAAATGTGGAAAAAGCATTTGACCAATTCAACATTCATTCATGAAAAAAATTTCAGCAAAATAGGAATAGAAGAAAACATCTTCTACCGGATGTAGATGTGGTTAAAGTTAAAGGACAGTCTGCACATCAAAGCCCTTAAAGTTAAGGGCTTTGATGTGCAGACTGTCCTTTATTTTCCGAGTGAGCCCAATTTAATCACGAGTCCTTAAAGGTAGAAGAGGAAACCAAAAGGATGGGTGAGAGAGGAGCAATATGAGGAGTCATTCAAAGCCATTATTGACTTTGAAGATGGAGGAAGGGAGCCATGAGTCAAAAATTGAGGTAACCCCTAGAAGCTGGGAAGTGCCCTCAGCTTACAGGCAGCAAGAAAGGGGGGGACCGGGTTTTATGGCCAGGAAGAGCTAAATCCTGTGAACAACCCAAACCAGCAGGAAATGGATTTTTCTGTAGAGCCCCCTGAATCAAAAGCAGCTTGCTGATACCTTGATTTTAACCCCTTGACACCTGTACTGCAGCTTCAGAACTGTATGGTAACAAATGTGTGCTGTTTCAAGCTAAGTTTATGGGGATTTGCAAATGGCAACAATGTAAAAATGAATGAAATATTCAACTTCTCAAAGCAGATAACTTTAGCAAATTAATTTAAAATATATATATATATATATATATATATATATATATATATATATTATTGATTTTTTTACAGAGAGTTAGAAACATCAATAAGAGCTGCCTCTTGCACACCCCCTACTGGGGATGTGCCCGTAGCCAAGGTACATGCCCTTGACCGGAATTCAACCCTCTTTCAGTCTGCAGGCTGACGCTCTATCCACTGAGCCAAACTGGTTTCAGCTAGCAAATTAAATTTGTTAAATACAGAATTGTAGATGGTTCATTCCATTTAATATTTGTTAAGTTTTAATGTGTTAGTGCATGTATTTAATATGTGTATGTGTTCAAGTACAAAATATTCTTTTGTGTACATATATTTTAATGTACATAAGTAAAATTGTGTTAAGAACTCATTCAGTTTTTTAGTTTTTCCTCTCAGAACTGCTAAGAGCTACCTCTGATGCTAAATGAACAGCTTAGTGGTGCTGTTAAAACTGTTCCATTGTGTGCATCCACATTTTACTTAGCCAGTTCCACAGTGGTCACCTGGACTGCAACACCACAAATGAGGAATGTCTTTATATTATCTATCCATTACTGCATAATAAATCCCCTAAAACTTGGCCATTTAAAACAACATTGTTTCACAGTTTTTAGGATCAGGAATCTGGATACAGCTTAGGTTGGTGTCCCAGACTCAAGTGTCTCATGATGTTGTAGTTGAGTTTATTGCTGGGGCTGTGGTCTCATCTGAAGCGTCAACTAGGAAGTATCTGCTTCCTAGATTTCTCACTTGGCTTTTGGTAGGATTTAATTCCTCTAGGACTGAGGGCCTCTGTTCCTATTGACTGGAGGCCTCCCTTAATTTCAGGTGAACTTCTTCATATGTCAGCTCACTACAAGGCAGCTGGCTTTCCTCAGATAAAGCAAATGGAAGAATGAGAGCATCCCCAACACAAGCCATCATCTGTGTGTAAGCTCATATCTCAGAAGTGGGCTTATCACTGTATTCGCATTGTTAGAAGCGAGTCACCAGATACAAGGGGAGGAAACTACACAAGATCATGAATATTAGGAAGTAGGGATTATTGGGGTCATTTAGGGAGTGTCTTCCACAGCGAGACATATTTCTGTGATTTTTTTGGGGGGGATGTATACATAATGGGTTATAGGTTGTTTTCTAAAACGATTGGTTAATATTCCCATGAGCAGTACATGAGGGTTTATATATCAGCATATGCCTGCCACTCCTTTACATTTTCTAGGGCGTAAAGGGATAGCATATTGTTTTAAAGTGACTATATTTTCCACTCTTATTTTCTAGTGGAGTTCTTGCCTTTTTTCTTTTTTTTTGCCATCTGCAGGGATTGCTTCTAACATTCCAGATATTGGTTTTTTGTTCTTCCCCCTAATCTATCTCTGTTAACTTTGTCCAAAGTTTCATTTGTTGAGCAATAATTTTTAGTCTTGATATAATTAAATGCCTTTGCTTTTGGCTTTGTGGTTTGTGCTCTTAGGCTTTTATTTAAGAAGTCCTTTCTTATGCTAATGTTACCAACATATCAGTATACATTTTCTTCTATTAACTTTAATTTTGCCATTCACATCTAAGTCTGTAATTTATCTGTCATAGGTCTTTGATAGTAGGTAATAAGTTAGGGATCCATAATTTTTTAGCTTTATGAAATGAACCCCTATTTTCCTAGCACCATCTTCTGTACAATTTGTTTTTTCTCCATTATTTTCTGGATCCATCTTTATTATATATTGATTCTATATATACACAGGTCTGGCTATATGTTTAGTTCTCAATTGGGTTCCATTGGTTTATTTTTATGTGATGTTTTTATTACTACAATGATATTGCATGGCATTAGATAAATTGAATGGGCCTCTTGAGTTTTGTGTACTTTGTATTGAAAAGACATTTCTGTCAACACTATAATTCTGTCCTTAAAGTATCTGGTAGAATTTAAGCTTGCCTAGTTCTAGCATTAAGTCATCTTTAATTTGTTTAATAATCCCCACTTAAGTAGATAGTAAGTGTTTTTCTTTGGGCTTTCCATAAATATTTCAGTTCCATAAAATATTTTTATGTTCTGGAATTATTACTTTTTTTGCTGTGTTGTTGAGATTTCTACTTTCCTGGTCTAACATGTTACTGTTACCCATGATAATCTTGTTTAAATTTTTGTAATAACTGAAGATTTCTTAGGGCATTTATTCCTGTTTGTGCTCCTCTGAAAAATTTTGTTCCCTTTTTATTTGATCTAAGATTTGTTTCTACCCTTGATCTTAGCCAAATGGCTGAGATGTGGTAAGATTTTATTTCTAAAAGGGAATAATGATCTTGGGAAGGGACAAGAGTATTTCTTCCCAAAAGAAATATGCATGTAAAACAGGAATAATTTGTTGAGTGTTCATACTTTCTGAACACGCAGAGTTGGCTTTGAGAATGAGGGCACTAGAGATGGGAGTGTAGAACATGCCATTGTTCTCATGGTAAAGTGACTGTCAACTTGAAAAGGCATTGTTTTCTTTCCTACTGATTTCTCTTCAGTTTTATAATCTGAATATTTCTTTCTGTGTTATCACTAAACAGGGATGAACATAAGGGCTGTAGAGTGGATCTTTAAAGCAGAATACTGCTAGTAATGGTTTCCATTATACACTAATAAATAGACTTGTTATTCAGTAGGAGATGGGAATGGGAAAATAGGGAAGTAATGAGATACCTGACCCAACTAATGACTGGGGAACGGTTTCATATTTTTTCTCAACTTAATTTTTATGTTAACCATATTAGTATTTTTTTTTTTTATAATACAAGCATGTTGAATATTTAGATTTGAGTTTTTAAATTCAGAAAAGAGCAATATATTACTGTTCCAAACTGATCCATTATTCTGTTTTGTTTCCTATTTCTCCAGAGACATTACATATGAAATATCAGTAGAAGCTATATCAACAATGGTTGTTTTCCTTTCCTGTCAACTATATCACAAGGAAGTTTTGCGACAGAGTATCAGTCACAAGTATTTGATGCGAGGTCGATGGTATGTTTCTATTTTAATTGGAGGGGATTGGGGGGAAGGCAGACAGAGAGAGAGAGACAGACAGATAGACATGGAGTGACACTGCCCACACTCTCCCAACCAGAGCTGGGATGGAGCCTGTAGCTAAGGTTCCTGCCCTTGACTGGAATTGAACCCAAGACCCTTAAGTTTGAGGGCCAATGCTCCAACCACTGAGCCAAACCAGCCAGGGCTAAATTTGTCTAGGTTTTAAACAAAATAGTCACGGGGATGTAAAATACAACATAGGGTATATAGTCAACAATACGGTAATAACTATGTATGGTGCCAGATGGGTACTGAAAATATTGGGAGGACGACTTTGTAAATTATATGGTTGTCTAACCACTGTGCTGTACACCTGAAAGTAATCTACACTAATAAAAGAGAAACATGCAAATTGACTGTGCATCCACCATACTCACTAGCCAATCAGAGTGAGTATATAAATTAACAAAGATGGAGGTTAATTTGCATACACAGGGTAGAGTGAAGACTGAAGGCAGCATAGAAGGAAGCCAAGTGCTGCAGAAGGCAGTGAAGCTGCGGAGTAACAAGCGGAGTGGCGGAGACGGGAGGGAAGCAGGTGGAGCAGCGGAGAACCCCTATTCCTCCAGCCGCAGGAAACAATATTCTTTTCTTTTTTTCTTTTTTTTTTTTTTAAATATATTTTATTGATTTTGTACAGAGAGGAAGGGAGAGAGAGAGAGAGCCAGAAACATCGATGAGAGAGAGAGTTGTCATCGACCATCTGCCACTTGCACATCCCCCACCGGGGATATGCCCGCAACCAAGGCACATGCCCTTGACCGGAATCGAACCCGGGACCCTTCAGTCCCCAAGCCGACGCTCTATCCATTGAGCCAAACTGGTCTCGGCAGGAAACAATATTCTTGCAGAAATCTTCCTGCAATGGGCCTCTAGTATAAAATAAAATTGAATGTCAACTGTAAATGGATATTTAAAAAGTGAACAACAAAAAATAAATTTGTCTCTTTTTTTCTATAAATCTATATATTTGGTTTTATCCCCTTAGTATTTTTAAAATCTTTATTTATTGATTGATTTTTGAGAGAGAGAAAAAGAGATATATTGATTTGTTGTTCCACTTATTTATTGCATTTATTGGTTAATTTTTTGTATGTGCCCTGACTGGGTATCTAACCCCAAACCTTGGCCTAACCAAATGATGCTCTAACCCAGCGTTTTTCAACCGCTGTTCCGCGGCACAATGTTGCCTGGTGTGCCGTAGGTGCAGACAAGACAAGAATTTTATAATTTTTCACTATTTTGTTTACTTAATATTTCATAATAAAGTAATTATAAAATACTTTCTTTGTGTTTATTTGATTCCTATTCAAGAGAATTACTTTATATATAGTCAATATAGGCACAGAGTTAAATTTTTTAACATTTTCTAATGGTGGTGTGTCTCGTGATTTTTTTCATGAAACAAGTGTGCCTTTGCCCAAAAAAGGTTGAAAAACACTGCTCTAACCAACTGAGCTATCTGACCAGGGCCTCTTACCTTAGTATTGTTCTGTATCTCCAACCAGACATTCCCATAGTTGTTCTATCAGCACCTTCAACACATAAGGAACCAGATTCTCCTTTTTTGTCCAAACTATCCATCCTTCCTACTCCATTACTTTCCAGCTCCATTGCTTTCTGTAGTGATTTCTTTGAAGAATTAAAACTTAGTCGTTACTTTCTTCTCTATCATTCTCTAATGTCTAATCAGTCATCCAGTAATATTTCATTGAAATTATTTTTGTGTCTTTCCCTCTTCACCAGTTCCACATAACCTCTTGACTGACTGTTCCTATTTTCATTGAGTCAATACATCTTTATTGTGTACTAACCATGTGCCAGGCATGTTAGGATGTAGGGCTATACTCTGAATAGAAGCTTACAGTCTTCTAGTGGGCGGGGATGAGAATAGATAAATACACACACACACACACACACACACACACACACACACTCACACACCTTTTATTGATACAGTCTTTACAGAATTTTGGAATGTAAGACAAAGACAAAGTAGCTTTGATTAAGTTCTCAGGGACTTTCATCCTTCTTACTACTTTTGTTTTCTTCATGGCACCTTCACTGATAATATGGAAAAGGCCTGAGATTTTGCTCAAGAGTCTATTGAGAAATTTTCTCTATATTGCAGGAACTGATCTATCACCAATTTGTGGACACACACCCCTTTTCACCTATTTTTTTCTCCCTTTTCCTCATCTCATTACTTAGAACCAAAGAGTATAACGTTTACAAAATCTGTATATATACAGATATATTTTTGTTTGCATGCACTAATTAAATAACTTCATACTTAAAGAGTATACTCTTTTATATTATTGCTTTTTAATTATTTTCCCGTACTAATTCTATATTACTATCTCCCTTCAAGTGCCAGGTACTGTACTATACACTGAATTTATAATATCTCGCCTGTTAAACAGATTATTAATAAGGTGGGTTCAAGAGTGGAAGTGAATTGACCAGTGATCTGTGGCATAGTAAGGAGAAAGCCAGAGTTAAGCCTCAAGTCTGATGGTCTTCACTATTATGTGACCATGCTAGCCTTCTTTGAATTGTGCTAATCCTTTTGTATTATTAGATCATATAGATTATTATTAGTACAGTCAGATGACTCCCGTAAGTATGAGTCTGATTTTCTTCTTTTGTCCTTTCTGTGTAGTCTTCCATACACCAGCAAACTTGTGAAAACGTTATTGTATAACTTCATCAGACAAGAAAAGCCACCTCCCCCAGGTGCCCATGTTTTCTCTCAGCAATCGGATGGGGGAGGACTCCTGTATGGACTTGCATCAGGTGTAGCAAGTAAGCCCTTTTTGATTTTTTCAGTACTTTGATATACACAGATTGTTGTTTAATGAGTCGTAAATAATTCCGTTTTCCTTGGCTGCCACTCCTAACAGTTATATTGGATCTGTGCAGCTGTGTAAATGTGACATACTGAAAGTAATTTAAAACATTCAGTTTTGCATTCAATGTAGTGAATGCACTTAAATATATGCAAATAATGAATAAATTGTTTACCTATAAGGCACCATTTTTTCAAGAAGAACGTTTATAAATATGCATATTGTATGAGTTCTAGCTGTACAATTCAGTTAAGCTCTTGGTAACTTTTTAAATGCTTGGTTTTATAAGGAAATCATTCTGTTTTAAGGACTGTATTGGTTAGGGTTTTATGTGACTAATTGGGTATAGTTTTCTTATTGTAATAAATGTTTCATTTGTTGATGACCAATTAGTATATTTTGAAGAGTTTTGTTATGAATTCAAAAGTGGCACAAATATGAGTTTTATCAGATTAGAAGCAAATTTTGTTAACTGTGCAAAGTCCTTTCCCACCAAAGCATCATTTCTGCTTCACAGTGATCAGACTAAAGACTGGGGAAGTATCGAGTACCTCTGGTCTGCCCCTTTGTTGGTGTGAGGACCTATGCCACGAGAGGTTATATAAAGGAACTTTTGCTTTATTCTGAAGGAGAAAAGTAGGCTGACACTTGGGTAGTTGTGAGGTCTGCACAGTTGCTCTTACTAAATGTTCTACTTAAGCACATGGTGCAGAGTTAGGCTGTTTGGAGGAATTTAAACGGAGCTGAGTTCCACAGCTGAATTGTGATTGACACATCCTCCCCTCACTCAGGGAGGAACATCAGTTTGATAAGAAAATGGAGAACTACAGTGTGGTAACATTAATGAGTCACGGAAACCTCTTTGTATTAAAGACCTCTCTGTTGACTTTAGGAATTGATCTGTGAACCAGGCTTTTTAGGTTTGCCTTCCTTTGATTTCTTTGAATTATGAGTTGAATTACATTTGTGATTACTCATGGTTTTGTCTTTGGTGCTGAGCAGGCTGCCTAGAATACCAGACCTGCAGAATTTTATTCTCCGAGTTACTCTTGCCTACTGCCAGCCTTGTTTCAGGTGAACAGGCTGTTCATGCTTGCTCAGTTATGGCCGTGAAGGGAGCATAGGCATGGCTTTTTGTGTCCCGTGGGAAGACTTCATTAATCCAGTAGTATTTGATTTTTGATTTTGATTTTTTAAAATATATTTTATTAATTTTTTTACAGAGAGGAAGAGAGAGTGAGAGAGAGTTAGAAACATCAATGAGAGAGAATCATCGATCAGCTGCCTCCTGCACACCCCCTACTGGGGATGTGCCCGCAACCTAGGTACATGCCCTTGACCGGAATCGAACCTGGGACCTTTCAGTCCCCAGGCCGACACTCTATCCACTGAGCCAAACCGGTTTTGGCACTATTTGATTTTTTAAATTATTAAACCGGTATAGGGATTTAAAAGTTGAGTATTTTGCAGTACTCCAATATGGTTGGGGATTTTGGGGAGCAGGTAGTATAGGGTCATTCATTGCTTTCTCCAAAACAATGGCAAAACTTTTGAGTTGTTTAAAAAAGTAAACATAGATTCATGGGTGGTTTTGGTTTTTCTTGAATTTATGTGGCATGAGAATGAAGTCCAGGATGACATCTGGTGTCATCAGTACCAGGTGCCAAAACACTGGACTTCCTAATGTTAGATCTGTTCCCATCTACCTAGCAGTATATAGTCTTAATTTTCCTTCTTTCCAGGTTCCTTGTCTTTCAAATGAGGAAGTTGGGATAGATGATCTGAGATTATTTCCATCTAATTTTCAGTGAATCTATGGTCTTTTCCTCTGCCATTTTAAAAGTTACTATTCCATTAAGGGCATTAAAATAGTTAGAATTTTTAGTGTGCTATAGTTACAGCACATTTTATATAGCTTTCTTCCTAGACCTTTACAAATCTATTCATGCAAAAATATAAACATAATGGAGTAATTATCGTTATTTCACAGTTTGCAAGTCAAAGGATTATAAAAACAACAAAAGGACATTCTCTTAAAAAGCAAAGCTGGATTGTGGGTAAAATGTAAATTTGATCACAGTATGTAATTTGAATTAAGCCATATTCTAGGAAAGTCAGTCAAATTGACAAAGAAAATTTGACTTTAGTTTTTAGTGATCACTTTTGATGATTTTTTTGGTTGGTAGTTAAGGAATTTTCCTACTTTAAAAAAGTGCTTTTAAAATTTTTGGAGGGGTTTTAGAGAGAGAGAGAGAGATCAAGGAGAGATAGAGAGAAACATTGATGTGAGAGAGAAGCATTGGTTGGTTGCCTCTCATATGCATCCTGACTCAGGCTCAAACCCACAACTTGGTCATGTGCCCTGACCGGGAATTGAACCAGCGACCTTTTAGTGCAAGGGATGGTGCTCAACCAGCAGAGACACACTGTCCAGGGCAGAATTTTCTTACTTTAATATTGGCTTGAGAAAATGTGATTCGGAGATTCCTCACTGAAAAGAAATAAGGTTGCAAAGTTAGATGCAGATTATAAATGCTTTTGGATTATCTTCATTTTTGTTGGGATTGAATTTTTCGTAGGACAGAAAACATTTCCTTTCATAGTGTGTGTATTGTATATTTTGCTGAGATTATTTCCTCTGAAACAGCATGCCTTATTTTGGAAAACTTTATAGTTTTGGATAGTGAAGTTCTGTTGGCTCTGGCAAGGGAAGATGGGAATCCTAGCGCTAGAACTGGGTCCAGATGAGTAATGAGTCACATGTCTGGGCCCTCACAGGAGTCAGGCAAGCCTTCTCCAGCCCATTCTCATTTATTTCCAGTTATCTATTATCTGTTTCCTAGATTCCTGCAAAACCTTTTTAAATCTTCCCTCCCTCCCACCTCTTTTATATGCCTTCGCTTAGGTTATCTCTTTAATCTAGAATCCTCCTTCCTCCTCTCTGTCACTTCAATTTTCTGCCCATCCACCCATTGAGGCCCATCCCCAGTCCTACCTTCTCTATGAAGAGTGCCTTTCCTCCCTCCTAGCAGGAGATAATCTTTTCCTGTCGCACTCACTCTGCTTTGCGTTATGATTACTGTGTAGGAGTTTCATTTCCCTACATTGCTCTACATACAATACAATAGGAGCTAACATATTTATAACACTTGTGAGCTTTTAGAGCAACTTTTTGCATATCTTATGGCTATCTTGTGAAATAGATGTTTTTACCTTGTGATGTGATGGACGTAGAGATGTTTCTAGCTATTAAATTGCTTGTCTAAGATCACACAGGAAAGAGATGATGTTGGTTTTTGCACTTGAGCTTAGTTTCTTTGCTTCCGGAACTTTGCTGTCTTGTCTCTCATTGTTGCTATCTGACTCCTGAGTGTGTAAGCGGCTCTTGACTTCTCTGAGGTTTTTCACTGCAGTCTCTAGCATAGCACCTTACATCTGGACTGTCAGTACATACTTATATGTAATTAAATACCAAAAACTAATGCTCATGTGCACTTGAGGTAGGTGTGAAGTCAGTTATAGCGACATGACTATCATTTTTCTAATGCCTTCTGTTTGCCATACAGGTGTTAGTAGCTATTTTACATATATGATTCTTATCTGCTCTTTTAAAAAATATATATTATAGTTTTGCTGAAACCAGTTTGGCGTCGGCCTGCAGACTGAGAGGTCCCAGGTTGGATTCTGGTCAAGGGCATTGGTTGTGGGATGTGCAGGAGGCAGCTGGTTGATGTTTCTCTCTCATTGATGTTTCTAGCTCTCTATCCCTCTCCCTCCCTCTCTGTAAAAAATCAATATATATATAGTTTTATTGATTTCAGAGAGGAAGAGAGAGAGAGAATCATTGGTTGGCTGCCTCCTGCGCGCCCCACACCAGGGATTGAGCCCGAAACTGGGTATGTGTCTCAACTGGGAATCGAACTGTGCATAAGTTGACACTCAACCACTGAGCCATGCTGGCCAGGCTCCCTCCTTCTCTTTTTAAAAGCTTTATTTGGAAATAAAAGTCACACATATAGAAAAGTTCCAAAAATAAAAATATTATAAAGAAGTCTATATAGCTTTATCTAGGTTGATTTGTTAGTATTCTCATTTGTTATATATTTGTAATCTTTCCCTCCCTCTCTTATCATTTTGCATGCGTGCACACGCACACTCACACACACACTTTTTGTAACCAGTTGAGGGTAAGTTACATTCATCATTGCCCCTTTACCCCTAAATATTTGAATGTGTACTTTCCAAAAGGTAACATTTCTCACACAACCACAGTATACTTACCAAGTTAGTCAATTTAACAGTCAGCTATCCTTAAAAACAAATGAGGTAGGCATTTGTTTCTACCTCAGTCAAAATAAAGAATGGAGATTTCCCCCTATAGTTCAAAATCTCCTTTAGTAAGTACATAATGTCATTTGTGTTGCTCTTAAATTGAATTTTCACAATTAGGTTTTCCTGGGCCTGTGCATACCAATTTATCTCTCTTAGACTAAACACTCCAGGCTGCAGCATCTGTCCTTCGTGTTTATTATCGGCCTGCAGAACACAGGGAGTGCTTGGATAATGTTTGCTCAGTGTCATAAATAATTAGAGGGGTTATTAATACTTTTCAATTCCTACTGATAAGTTTCTTTGCAGTTAAGGAGAGTAGTGAAAATTACCTTGTCTAGATTTTGTTCTTTTTAAAGAAGTGTTTGTACATGGGTCAAGAGTGATTTGCTGCTTTAACTAAAAGTGGTTAGAATGAATTATACATTCGTATATTATTTTATCTGGTAATATATATAAAATACATGCCAACATGCCTATATTCATAATCTTCAGTATAAGAAAAACATGGTTCCCTTCTCTGTAGTTTGTTAGTTTAGAAATTCCTCTAATATGCTGATAAAATGGCAAAATAATCAATTGCTATATTACTTTACTGTGTAGAAAAGAATGCTACAGCTTTACTTA